TTAGAATCCCTAAAAGAGTTGGTGGGGTGAATAGTTTGGTGAATGGTGAAAGCTCCCTAACTGAACTCTGCTGGTGGATGCTGAGTGAACATAGGAAGACAATCTCATTCATCACAAACTTTCCAAATATCTAAAGCATCCAGAAGTTGTGTTTCCATGCTTGTTAAATATTACATGGTGGCCCTGATGAATGTACCTCCCAGCATGAGAGACAGCACATTTCTCTAATGAAGGCTGGGGATGGAGATTCTAACACAGGTTGCCATTAACCTGCGGAATTGCAGCAGGAATTTGGAACAAAAAACGAAGGCAGTGAGTGTTTTCTAAAACAGACAGCAGAGAGGAAGCAGAATAATTAAAACACTCCTTCCTTCCGCTGAGTCAAGATGGGGATCTTTATTTTGGGAATGATACTTTAAAACACACAAATACACAGAAGAGGGAAATTTAAAACATCTTATCTACTTGCAAAGATCTGAATGAAGCTGAGTCAGTGAGAGAAGGACAGCTAGTGAAAGTGTGCCTCCAAGTTACTTGTTGAATTATGCTGAGCCAATGATTTTCATAGCGGTTTCTTAGACAGGAAATACTTGGAAGGCAGCTTTACCGCTAAAATAGAACCTACAGTGCCTGATATTCCTTGATGGCCTCCCATTCAAATACTAACCAAGGCTAACCCTGCTTACTTCCCAAACCTCAGATTGGATTTGATGGCTTCCAAGCAGCATTTCTCAACCTGGGGGTCAGGACCCCTGGGGGGGGGCATGAGGTGGTGTCAGAGGAATCACTAAAGACCATCAGTATTTTCTGTTGGTCATGACCAGGCATGTAGCCGGGGGGGGGGGGCTTGAGGGGCTTCAGCCCCCCCCCCCCCGAAATTCTCATGGTGGTTCATGAAAAGGCCTTACTGGTGCATTATTTAAACTGTTATGTTTATTCATATCATGATCTGATCACCATACTCAATATATCCCATATGCATGGGGGTATTGGGGTAACGATACAAAAGGTTTGCTAGGGTAGACCCTCTTTCACTCAGACTCACCCCCCCCCCCCCCCCCCCCCCCCCCCGAAATGAAATCCTAGCTACACTACTGGTCATGAGGGTTCTGTGTGGGAAGTTTGGCTCAATTCTCTCATTGGTGGAGTTTAATGGGCTCTTTGATTGTAGGTAAACTATAAATCCCAGCATCTAAAACTCCCAAATGTCAAGGTTTATTTTCCCCAAATTCCACCAGTGTTCACATTTGGACATATTGAGTATTTGTGCCAAGTTTGGTCCAGATCCATCATTGTTTGAGTCCACAGTGCTGTCTGGATATAGGTGAACTATAACTCCAAACTCAAGGTCAATGCCCACCAAACCATTCTAGTACTTTCTGTTGGTCATAGGAGTTCTTTGTCCCAAGTTTGGTTCAATTCCATTGGTGGAGTTCAGAATGCTCTTTGATTGTAGGTTACCCATAAATCCCAGCAACTACAACTCCCAAATGACAAAAACAATCCTCCTAACAACCCCATCAGTATTCAAATTTGGGCGTATTGTGTATTTGTGCCAAATTTGGTGCTGTGAATGAAAATACATCCTGCATATCAGATATTTACATTATGATTCATAAAAATAGCAACATTACAGTTATGAAGTAGCAACGAAAATAATTTTATGGTTGGAGGACACTACATGAGGAACTGTATTAAGGGGTTGCAGCATTAGGAAAGTTGAGAAACACTGGTTTCAGGACATTTAGGTTCTCAGTGAACATCCTGGGAGGCTAAAGACGATGCCACCACAGTGGTGTCTGGAATTCTCCTGTTTTCAGAGTGCTGTTCTTTATTTACTTTCCTGATTTTAGAGTTTCTTTAAATACTAGCAGCCATATTTTGTTCATTTTCATGATTTCCTCCTTTTTGTTGAAATTGTCCACATGCTTGTGGATTTCAATGGCTTCTCTATATAGCTTGAATGAACAAAAATCTGGCTACCAGTATTTTTTTTTTAAAAAAAACCCTCTAAAATGGGACAGTAAAGAAAGAACAACACTCAAAAACAGGGGAATTCCAGACAAGAGACCACATTCCAACAAAGGATTCCCCCAGGCAGGAAGCAGCCAAGCTTTGAAACTGCAAAGCCATTCAATGCTAATCAAGGTGATCAACTGCAGCATTCACACCTGCCTCCAACAGACACCCTGAACATTCCACAGATAGAAACCCCACTTGCCTACTTTCCAACAGACCTCACAACCTCCGAGGATGCCTGCCATAGAAGTGGGCAAAATATCGGGACAGAATACTTCTGGAACATGGCCATACAGCCTGGAAAACTCACAGCAACCCAGTGATTCTGGCCATGAAAGCCTTGGACAACACATACTACTTCATCACATTTACTAAATTCCATCACATTATTTAAATTCACCAAGGGAAGGGTATATTTAAGAGTGCTGCATTTAAAATCTGGAAAGCCACTCTTGTCATCACATTAATTTGGCTTCAAATGTAGGATAAAGGATTCTTTGTGTATTTTAAGTGTATTTTAAGTGTAAGTGATTTTTTTTTACATGTTTTATGGGGTAGTGGGGAAGTGGATTTTTTGAAATCAATGTGATGGCATTAGTTGCTCCCAGGCTTACAATGAAAACTTTCCCCAATTTGTGGGAGGGGAAATTGTGAGAGGAGCCAAAAGTACCCTTCTTAGGGAAAGCATTACCTTTTGCTCACCAAGTTTTTACTTTGACAGAACAATTTCTTTTTTAAAAATAGCCTTTCCACGTCCTTTCCTTTCTTTCCCTTCCCTTCCGTGATACGTCTGTGCCTTGTGTTGCATGGGAAAGCCGGGAGAGAAGGATTATTATTATTATGCCTTGTTTCCATGCTGTGCAGTCCTGGGAGTTATTGTTTCCCAAGTTCCGTAAACTTCTCTTGGTGCATTTATACTATGGAATGAATGCTCTTGGACCCCACTTTAAATACCATAGCTCCATACTATGCAGTTCTGGGAGTTATAGTGTCCCAAGGTCCATAACCTCCTCTGGATGCATCTGCACTGGAGAATAAATGCAGCTGGGACCCATTTTAATTATGATGATGATTATTATCATGCCATGTCTCCATGCTGTGCAGACCTGGGAGTTATAGTTTCCCAAGGTCTATACCCTTCGCTTGGTGCATTTGTACTATGGAATGAATGCTTTTGGAGCCCACTTTAAACGCCATAGCTCCATACTATGCGTTCCTGGGAGTTATAGTTTCCCATGAACCAGACCTTTCTCTGAATGCATCTGCAATGGAGAATAAATACACCTGATACCCATTTTAATTATGATGATGATTGTTATTACTATGCCATGTCTCCATGCTGTGCAGTCCTGGGAGTTATAGATTCCCAAGGTCTATGGAATGAATGCTTTTGGACCCCACTTTAAATACCATATCTCCATACGATGTGTTCCTGGGAGTTATAGTTTCCCATGATCCATACCTTTCTCTGGATGAATCTGCTTTGGAGAATAAATGCAGCCGGGACACATTTTAAATATTGTTGTTGTTGTTATGCCATGTCTCCATGCTGCGCAGTCCTGGGAGTAATAGTTTCCCAAGGTCTGTACCCTTGAATTGGTGCATTTACACTATGGAATGAATGCTCTTGGACCCCACTTTAAATGCCATAGCTCCATACTATGCGTTCCTGGGAGTTATAGTTTCCCATGAACCAGACCTTTCTCTGAATGCATCTGCAATGGAGAATAAATACACCTGATACCCATTTTAATTATGATGATGATTGTTATTACTATGCCATGTCTCCATGCTGTGCAGTCCTGGGAGTTATAGATTCCCAAGGTCTATGGAATGAATGCTTGTGGACCCCACTTTAAATACCATATCTCCATACGATGTGTTCCTGGGAGTTATAGTTTCCCATGATCCATACCTTTCTCTGGATGAATCTGCTTTGGAGAATAAATGCAGCCGGGACACATTTTAAATATTGTTGTTGTTGTTATGCCATGTCTCCATGCTGCGCAGTCCTGGGAGTAATAGTTTCCCAAGGTCTGTACCCTTGAATTGGTGCATTTACACTATGGAATGAATGCTCTTGGACCCCACTTTAAATGCCATAGCTCCATACTATGCAGTTCTGGGAGTTATAGTTTCCCAAGGTCCATACCCTTCTCTGGATGTATCTACACTGGAGAATAAATGCAGCTAGGACCCATTTTAATTATTATTATTATTATTATTATTATTTGTATTATGCTATGCCTTTCCCTTCCCTTCCCTTCTGTGCTATGTCTGTGCCTTGTGTTGCATGGGACAGCTGGGAGAGAAGGATTATTATTTTGAAGCCATGTCTCCATGCTGTGCAGTCCTGGGAGTTATTGTTTCCCAAGGTCTGTACCTTTCTCCTGTTGCATTTGCACTATGGAATGAATGCTCTTGGACCCCACTTTAAATACCATAGCTCCATACTATGCGATCCTGGGAGTTATCGTTCCCCAAGGTCCATACCTAATGTGTTGAAGTGGATAGAATCGATCTTGTTTGTAACTTGGGGACTGCCTGTAAACTGGGTTTACGGAAAACAGAATGATGCTGATATTGACACAAGATGTGCAAACTGGGCTTAGGAAAACCAGGGGTATTCTTATTCAAAAAATTAATACATTTCTGCTGAAACATTGCATAAAATGTGGGCGCCCCCCTCCTCCTCTGATGGAGTCCGCACCTGCCCTTTCTTTACTACTTCTCAGAGGTTTCCCACCCAAAGCACTGTTGAAAGCTGGAATCACTGGGCTGTTGTGAGTTTTCCGGGCTGTAGGGCCATGTTCAAGAAGCATTCTCTCCTGACCTTTCTCCTGCATCTATGGCAGACATCCTCAGGTTGTGAGGTCCCACCCAAAGCTTGGAAGCCCCCCTGCCTGCCTTTCCCGGGGGGAGAGAGAGAGGGAGAGAGGGAAGCAGACCCTTGGGCTCCTCCATCCCTCCTTCTGACTCACCGGTCCACGGCGATGACGGTCATGGAGTAGATACTGGCGAAGACGGCGGTGATGGGGAAGAAGTTCTGGAAGCGGCAGTAGGCCTCCCCGAAGTACCACTGGCCGTGCAGGGCGTAGAGGAAGTTGACCAGCGTGTTGAAGGCGGCCACCGAGGCGTCGGAGAAAGCCAGGTTGACCAGGAAGGAGTTGGTCACCGTCCGCATGCGCTTGTGCGCCAGGATGATCCAGATGACCACCAGGTTGCCGAAGACGGCCACCGCCACCACCAGCCCGTAGGCCAAGGACCAGAGCGCGATGCACCACGAGGGCTGGGCGAACTGGTTGGAGAAGTTGGACGCCGAGGGGGGAGCCAGGCTGCCGTTGGGCCAAGCCAACGAGGAGTCGGCGGCGCTCCAGTTGGAAAACGGGGTGGAAGTCATCCTGGGAGCGGGTCCCTTGCCTTCCTCCCTTCCTTCCAGCCCTCCCTTCCTTCCAGCCGAAAATCCGGGCAAGGAAGGGAGTCCCAAACAGAAAGAGAAGCTCCAACTCGCCCCGTCGATGCGCTCCTAACTGCGCGCTCTCTGTCCCTGCCTCTCTCCCGCTGCGCTCTCGAGGAAATGCTGGAGGAAAGGAAGGGGGACCGTCCGCCCCAGCCCCTTTTATACGCTTCTGGGAGGCGAAACGGCAAGGCTGCTCGGCTCCATAGGCTGAGGGGATTCCTCTCCCTCCTTCCCTCTCTCCGCCCTCCTTCTCCGCGGCCCCCTCCCCTCCCCAACTGGCGCCGGAGGATTGTGCTCCAGCCTGTGGAATTGGTCGCGTTGGATCCCACCTGGTGCCTCATCACACGAGAGAAAAAATCCACTTAAAATCCGGTTGCTGCCTCCTGCAAAATTCTGGGGTTTGTAGTTTAGGAAGGAGCCTTTAAGAGTCTCACTAAACTCCCTCCTTCCATGTTTCCCTTCCTTCCTTACCTTTGTCTTCCCTTCCTTACCTCCTTCTTTCCTTCCCTCTTTCCTCCCTCCCTCCTTCCCTCTCTCCCTCCTTTCTTTCCTTTTGTCTTTCCTTCATTCTCCCTTCCCTCCCTACATTCTCTTCCACCTTTCCTCCCTTCCATTCTTCTCTTCCCTCCTCCTTCCCTCCCTTCCATCTCTCATTTCTCCTTCCCTCCTTCCTTCCTCCTTTTGTCCTTCCTTTCTCTCTTTCCTCCCTCCCCCTTCCTTCCTCCCCTTTTGTCTTTCCTTCATTCTCCCTTTCCTCCCTCCATTCTCTTCCAACTTTCGTTCTTTCCATTAGTCTCTTCCTCCCTCCCTTTCTTTTTCTCTCTTTCCTTCCTCCTTCCATCCCTTCTTTCTTCCCTCCTTCCTTCCCTCTTTCCTTCCTCCTTCCATCCCCTCTTTCCTCCCTCCTTCCATTCGATCTTGTCTCCCTCTTTTCCTTCCCTCTTCCTTCTCCTCCCTTCCTTCCTTCCCTTTTGTCTTTCCTTCCCTCCCTCCATTCCCTCCCTCCTTCTCTTCCCCTTTCTTCCTCTTCCCTTCCTCCTCCTTCCTTCCTTCTTCCTCTTTCCTTCCTTTCTTCTCCCTTTCCTTCCTCCTTCCATCCTCCTTCCCCCTTATCCTTCCCTCTTCCCTTCCCTTCCTTTCTCCTTCCTCCTTCCCTCTTTCTCCCTCCTCCCTCTCTCCCTCCTTCCTTCTTCTTTTGTCTTTCCTTCATTCTCCTTTCCCTCCCTCCATTCTCTTCCACTCTTCCTTCCATTCTTCTCTTCCTCCCCTCCCTTTTCTTTCTTACTCCTTCCATCCTTCCTTTCCTTCCTCTTTCTTCTTCCTTCCTTCCTTTCCACCCCTTTGTCCTTCTCTCCTTTCCCTCTTTTCTCCCTCCCTCCTTCCCTCCCTCCCTTTTGTCTTTCCTTCCTTCTCCCTTCCCTCTCTCCATTCTCTTCCACCCTTCCTTCCATTCTTCTCTTTCTCCCTCCGTGCCTTCTCTTTCTTCTTCCATTCTTCCTTTCCTTCCTTCCTTCCTTTCCTTATTCTTTTTCCTTCCCTCCTTCCTTCTTACCCTTCCACCCTTTTGTCCTTCCTTCCTCTTTCCTCCCTCCTTCCCTTTCTCCCTCCCTCCTTCCCTTTTGTCTTTCCTTCCTTCTCCCTTCCCTCCCTTCCTTCTCTTCCATTCTTCTCTTCCTCCCTACCTTCCTTCTCTCTTTCCCTCCTCCTTCCCTCCTTCCTTCCCTTCCACCCTTTCATCCTTCCTTCCTTTCCCTCTCTACTTTCCTCCCTCCCTCCTTTTTCCTCCCCTTTTGTCTTTCCTTCATTCTCCCTTCCCTCCATTGTCTTCCACCTTTCCTTCCTTCCATCCTTCTCTTTTTCCTTCCTCCTTTCCTCCTGGGGGATATTTAGCCAGGAGAAGAGAAGCTAGAGAGGGAACATGGGAACTATGTTTCAAGATTTTGAAGGGTGTCCCATTGAGGAGGGGGGGGGGGCTGATTTTCTGCTGCTCTAGAGACCAGGGCACAAGGGAGCAATAGTTCCAAATGGTAAGGAAAGAGACTGAACTGAAAAGATTATAAAGAACTTCCTGGAGAGTGGCATAGGATGCCTCAGAGTGTGGAGGAGTCTCCTTCTCTGGAGGCTTTCCCACAGAGGCTGTCTCGTGGGAGTGCTTTTGTTGTGCCTTCTTGCATGGAAGGGGGTTGGAATGGATGGCCCTTGGGGGTCTCTTTCGAGTCTAGGATACTAGGATTCTATATCAGGAGTAGGCAATATGGGTTCTAATAGATGCACTTTTTACTGTCATCCACCATCTCATCCTGACCAAGGCCAACCCTTTTGGGATCCAAACGTTTCCTGTGTTTCCTTTACTTTCTGCCTCTCAAAGAGCAGAGGAAGGGGAGGAAAGGGCAGAGAGGGGGCTTCTGGAGAAACCCCTCCCTCCCTCCCGGCCCATCTTCCCCACTCTGGCCCACCATGTGGCCCCCAAGTTAGAAAGTTTGCCCATGCTTGGTGTAGAGGAACCCAAAGGAGAATGATCTCTCTAGACCAAGGGTGCATTGATATTGTATGAGGGGCGTTCATTAAAGATTTCCCCTGACCCAGTGATTCTGGCTGTGAAAGCCTTTAACAATAGCTTAAGCCATCTCTGCCAGAGTGCTGGTTCCTCACCAAACTACAAAATCCATAACATTGAACCTTAAAAGACTCAAACTTCATTAATTTGACAGTGTTGTTACTCACCTAGTCCACTACTTTAGCTTTGATTTTTTAAAATCGTGTCAGAAGCGATTTGAGAAACTGCAAGTTGCTTCTGGTGTGAGAGAATTGGCCATCTGCAAGGCTGTTGCCCGGGGGATGCCCAGATGTTTTACCATCCTGTGGGAGGCTTTTTTTCATGTTTTTGCATGAGAAGCTGGGATTAACAGGCGAGAGCTCACCAGGTTTCACGGATTTGAACCACCAACCTTCAGGTCAGCAGTTCAGCCAGCACTTCAGCCAGCACAAGGGTTTAACTCATTGCAGTACCTCAGCTTTGTGGTTGTTCAGTGCTTCAGGTAAGGATTGTTTCATAGCTCTGCCTGGAAATGTCAGAGATTGATCCTGGATTCTGCCAGCAGAATGTGCAGTACCTCATAGATTCTAATTAATTGCTCAGTCAGAACAGAAGAACATTTTGCTTGGTTGCTAAATTACCCTTTAACTAAAACTGGCTGCAAGGAGGCTACTTTGAGTTCTAGAGTAGCTAGCTAATAGCTATTGCTAATTGTGCCTCAGCTGAGCCAGTTTTTAAGTAGTACATATCAAACATCCTTTTGCTGATTGGTTTTGAGTGTTTACTAGATTATTTGCATTGTATTTGTCTTCGTCTTTGTTCTTGAGATCATCATGATTTTGCAAGTCAGTTAACACTCGGTTCCCTAACTTAGTTTTTGGTCTTAATTTGAATGAAATTAGGTGTTTGGTGCTTCAAAAACAGATGTGAGCATTACGTGACTTGTCCTTCCTTTGTGCCCTTAGCACCAACCTGTTGTGCTGGTATGAAACTTTTCAAAGTGTGGAGACAGAGTAGGATATATATAGTCAGCTCTCCATGTCCATGGATTCTGCATCCACAGATTCCACCATCCACAACTTCAATATCTATCTACTTTATCTATTTATCTATCCATCCATCCATCCATCCACAAACTAAAACATGTATGTGTGTGTGTGGCTGGCATGTCCACTTACACAGATGAACTCCTGCCTCCACAAAGTACTATATCTCTCACTATTCAGGAGACACCAGTGGCCCTCCCTCCAATGACATTGCAGGTTATAGTGAGCACCATGAACATGTTAAAGAGCTTTGCCAATGGCCTCCACAAACACAACACAACCCACCACCCCAGTGAAGGCTTTGATAGGGGACAATTCCATCCTAGATTTTATGGGTTTCCTCCATCACAGACATCCCAGTGTTTCTGATTCTCTCGATTGCTGTGGAATTTGCATGACCCCACCCATTGCCTCTCCCTTAACCCCTTTCAATTATTTTCTATGGCACATAGCAAACTGAGGAATTGATCAACAACTGAACATGCTAGAGAGGTATGGGGGAGAATTCACCATGATTTAGAGGAGTTGTAGGTCCTGAGATGTATAGTTCACCTGCAGTCTAAGAGCGGACTGAACTCCACCAAATATGGAACTGGAACTAACTTGGCACTCAGAACCCGCATGACGAACAATAAATACTGGAGGTCTTTGGAGGGATTTGTAGGAGTTGTAGTTCACCTACATCCAGAGAGCACTGTGGACTCAAACAATGATGGAACTGGACAAAACTTGGCATGCACACCTGATTTGAACCCAAATTTGAATACTGGTGGGTTTGAGGGGAATTGGCGTGGCTATTCTGGTGTTGCAGGTACTGAGATTTATAGTTCACTTGGAATCAATAAGCATTCTGAACTCAACCAAAGATGGAATTGGATCAAACTTGGCACACAGAGCCACCATGACCAGCAAGAAATTGTAGTAGAATTGTGGAATTGTAGTTCACCTACATCCAGACAGCACTGTAAATCCAAACCCTGATGGATCTGGACCAAACTTGACACACCTACCTGATATGCCAAAATTTTATTACTGGAGGGTTTTTTTGGGGGGCGGGGGGGGGGACTGACCTTTCCTTCTGGGAGTTGGAGTTCACCCACAACCAGAGAAACTATGACCTCCACCGATGATGGACCTGGACCAAACTTGGCACACAGAATCCCCATGACAAACTCAACCTGCTGGAGGGGTTTGAGGGGACTTGTTCACCATAGTGGGAGTTGAAGTTCATCCTGCAGCCAGAGAGTACACTGATGATGCATCCAGAGCAGACTTGCCCAGCATAACAAACTTTAAGTACTGATGGAGTTTCTTGGGTTAACCTGGCATGGTGTGAGTTGTAGTTCAGCCACAACCTTATGCATTTTGTACAATTAATTATTGATTTGGGTAACACC